ATATATATATATATATATATATATATATATACACTTAACCAGAACACTTCTTTATTGTATATGTTACGTAATGTTTTGTTGGGACGTGGTCATCACTGTCGCTGTTGTCAAAGGGAGACATCTGGACATGCTCGCATTTGTCTGAACATACATCATCGTTTTTCCTGAATGTTAACTACATTATTTCTGTGTATGCTTTCAATGTGCGAGACAGTTATCCATCATCGTGTCCAGAGCTATTAAAGACATATCTTGAGTAATCGATCTGCCACATCAGGGGATTTTGCTTTGCAAATTACCGACTTCACGTCAAGATGCTCCAGGTCGATGAAGAACATAGTGATGGCACCGTACCAGTATTCTCTTTTATTTAATAAATAGAACTGCACTATAGTTTCGTGCTTGTGAAGATAGTTGCCATGGAAACTACGACTGCTCCATGCCGCAACTGCATAGTCAATACATTTGCCTTTTTCAATCATTATTCTTTTGAGCTTTATTTAAGGCCCCATTGTTTGCGACGAGCATCTGTAATATGGGTTCAATTTTCAAACATTGGCAAAACGCTAGGCCCAAGGTTAGAATATGCCATTGCCGGGCAACGCATATTTACTCAGCAAAAATGCAGGTATATAACAACAATACTATGTAATTTTTAGCAAAATTCAATGATACAATTTTCCTGTAATACTGATGAAATATTTAATACAATCGTTTTTCTGACGTACGTGAGAAATATTTCTTTCGTATATCAATCCGACGACAAACATTATTGTTCTAGCTAGTTATTGATTGATTTATAATTAACTAAAAAATATACGCCAATCAGATCAAGCTATTGTGAATTGATATTCAACGAGTAACGTAAGAAATTTGTATATTGTGAACTTCACTAGGCCCCATCACGTGTAAGAATTAGAAATCATGTTTCAATTCAAATCCTACTCACAGATTTCATTATGTAATGTCGCTACTTTGTCACAACTATACTACCGAACATAATGGCGATATTTAATGATATTGTACATTAAAGGAGGCATGTCATTAAATATAATTTTCTTTGACAATGGATAGAATATTATGGCATTCAATCATCATGGTCGTTGATCTTTTACAATCATGCCATAGCCATTAAATATTCGTTTTACAAATGTAGGTAAGTGAAGTAAATATTCTAACTATGACATTCGTGTAACATTATTTAGTATTTCCAAAAACGGTTCAAATAAAAAAGCAGTTGGCTGTAAAAATGAATCTACAATTAATTCGTCGTTGATTGACAATGACAGGCCACTTCAACATTCAATCTTCTGTTAAGTGATGTGTTAAAAATCGCTGTATGTTCGTGCGTTAAAACTTAACTGTATAGACTGAATCGCATATGTTTTATAATATATGTACATTCACCGATAAAGAATCACTAATAAAGTATTTGTTTTCAAAATGTTGACAGAAATATTGACAGAAAATGAAAAAATACTAAATGTCGTCATGGTAATATGCTCGGTTTACACGTATATACTATATATGTTACATATAATTACTGCTTTAGTTGATAAAGCGGCATGCTTTGACTTCCGGTACACAAGGATGCCTGTATCGCCGTCATTATAGGAATATTTTAAAAATAATAACAGACGACAGTGAGTGTTATGCTAACCGTTGTGTCCTCATCTTTTATACAAATACTTTTTTTCTCTTTACGTATACATTTTTTATGATTAGTGCAGAAGTCTCGTCGTAATTGATCTGAATTGACATGATACAAGATCAGGTGTACAATGTATCAATGACAGTG